AAAAAAAAAAAAAACAACCAATTGTAACCAGTTGTTTTTATTTAAGATGGTCAATGTGCAGACCAGAAATTGGTAATTTGAGCTCTGCAGATTCAAGACATTTATAGCATGTAGAATACATAAAATGTCAAAAATCTTGAATCAAAAAGCTTATTGAACCTACAAATACACCCCTAGAAATAGGGCTTTGTAGCACTGTTAAAGCTGTAGTCTATGCACTGTAGGCCCACACAGGTTTTCTATTTATGACTCAGGGGCCCACTCTCCCACTCAAATGGTTCTGGATAGATTTCTCCCTGCCTAAATAAGGATTACTTGCATATGTATGTATGTACAGGGTGTATCAGCCTACATATATTAGCACAAAGAAAATGAGCACTAATGAGGTTCTCCTTAAATAGATGTTCCTGCAAAGACTAAACAGAAGGATAAAATGGCCTACTTATTTCGTTATACCATATCAAATACTACTTCACCCCACACTAAAGGTGGATTTCTTTTGCCATGCTGCCCCCTAGTGGCCAGTCTGCATACTGTCCTCCTTAAATAAGGATGATAGGTTACATTATACAGGCAAAAGAAGTCCATCAAGATTCATCAAAACTCCATCCTCAAGCAGAATTTTACACTGTTCCACTTTTTCAACTGTTCATCTTTCTCAACAAGAACTTTATGAAACATTTAAACATTTAGGCATTAAGTAAAGTAATGTATTGGCAAGTATCCATGAACAGAAATCTCAAGATGACCTAAGATGTTTTATAAAGTGAATGACATTGTAGTGACATAAGGGGCTTTAAACTAAAGTGATCGACACTTGCTGCAATTATAACACTGTTATGAAGCACCTTTCCCAAGTAATAGTAGAGGCCTAGTTCTGAAGATCACATGTTGATTCTAAGTATTTGCTTGAGTTTAAGTACATAGCACATTTACTTTTGATGCTTAAGCAAAAGTAATTTTGTACATTTATGCTTAAATAGAAATACAGATGAGGACATTCTACTTTTACTAAATTATTTTAGCATGAGAATTTCTGTTTTTATTCAAAAATAACATTTTTCTCTGTATACAGTGCTCAAAAGTAGTTTTGGGACAGCTCTATCAACATTTGGAAAGATTTCTTTTTGTCAATGTACTATGGAAATGTGCTTTACAAATATTCAAAAGTATGTTATTTCGGCTATATTATAACATATTTATCAATACCATGGGTTCAACTGAACAATAGCCTAGAAGAAAACATTCACCTAACACCCCATTGAACTTTAAAAATGTTGGGACATTATCCAAATGCATACAGAGATCTCCCAATGGTGCTTCTGGAAAGCCACTGTCCAACACACCTGTCTCTAAATTTCAGTAACATTCTGAACAATATTGCTTAGAAAACTTGAATTATTCAGTTGAAAAGTAAAAATTATTCTCTCTTGGTAATAAAATGGCTGGGGTTAGGCAGAATGGATGAGAAATATTAAAAATTCCAAAATCAAGATTGAAAAGTTTACTGAAGTGGTGGAAAGAGACCTGTCATGCTCTGGCCACCCAAAAAAGAACAAACACTTCAAGCTGTTTTCCAAAAGAAGGGATACTAAACATTAATTGGCATAATGGAGAGGGGCACTAAAGTGTTTTACACTAATGTTTGGGTACTTTTACTTGCCTTCAATGAATGTTTTCAGTGAATTACTGGGATCAGTTTGAGTTTCAGTTAGTACAACTGTTTGTTATTGTTGGTTGCTATAACTTTTCAGATGGACAAATAAATAAATGTCAACTTTAGCTTGGAAAGTAGTAAATAAACTAGACATATATTGTGTTCAGAGAGTGTCACAAGACTACTTTTGAGCACTGTATGTATATGCATATGTATATGTGTATGTATATAATGTATGAAAATCACAGATTTTTAAAGCGCAAGTTCAACAGCACCAAAATCTTCCATAGAACTCTGTCTGGTGTTTTTGCATTACTTGAGAATTATGCTTTATAACAGTGTTATAAATGGAAAAAATGTCTGTTGCTAGATTAATACACCTTATGTCAATGCAATGTCTTGTAATTAATAGCATAAACTCTCAAGTAGTGCTTTATAAATATGTTATCCAATGCTTATGCATGTGTTATGAAGTCTTTATGTCAGTAGTGTTTAAATAATATATTTACAAAAAACTTACTGGACAAATTATTACAGCTATAGAAGAAACAGGTTTTAGCACCAATACATACAGGTGGGTGAAAAATAAGAATAGTAGCCATGATAGTCCAAGATGTTTTATGATACATGATATGTCACAATATTCATTTTTTATGATATCTGATAAGTTGGAACAGACAAAGTAGCACCACATTTAAAAAAAATACTCTGAAAAAGGATGAATCCAATGATTTGTGTACAACATTTCACATAGTGTGCTGAACTAAATCCAATTAAATAGTTGCCATTTAATCGAACATGGTGTTTTTTAAGTTCTATGATATCCACAATTTGCTCAGAAAATCATATTGTGAAGTAATTTGACATTATAATAAATATTGTTATATTGCCCCGCCCTACCACTACTTACTAGAAAATGCACAGAGCTGGAAATGTGAAAGTTCAATGTGTTTTGTGTCAGTATTTTTTTATGTTTGATTATATAGACTGTCTGGGCACAATGGGCACACTACACAATGTGTGTGATTATAAACCTGTTTAATGCTCTGATTTTCAGCATATATTTCTCACAAAAACCAAATATCAAGTCGCAAGTCCTGGAGTTCTAATAGACTCAGATCTCAGTTTCACTAGCCATATCAAAGCATCACCAAAACAGCCTCCAACCATTTTAAAATTATTTAAAACATTGCCAAAATTGTAGATTTTTGTTGTTCTAACAAGATCCAGAGAAACTCATCCATGAGTGTGTTTACATGCGCTTAATAATCCAATAGCTACAGAAAATCAGATTTTCTCAGTAATCCGATCAATGCGTTTACATGCACTCGAATCAGATAATAGGAAAACTCTGGGTCTACATGAGTCAAGCAGCCAATAAACTCACAGAAGAAGACGTGACATAAACATAATATTAAACTCCAACTTCTTTTTTTAAAAACATCAAACCACTTTACCTGAAAACATGAACACACATTATCTAGTAGATTTAAATCCTTCATTTCATGAAGCATGTAGTAGGTTTCAGCATTGCTCCAAAAGTGTTTTGCTGCCATCTCGTGGCAACACTGCTTACTTATTTCCAGTACCGCAGTCTGTTTCACACATGTGCAGACTGAGAAATCTGAAAGAAATCAGAGTAAGAGTATACATGCACTGAGAAATCTGATTACTAAGTTAAAATGCAGCTCTCTTTATCTGATTTCTTAATCGGATTTCTAGACCTTACTCCAACCTCAAAATCGGAGTATTACATGACCATTTGAATAATCAGATAACTGCAGAAATCCAATTATGATCGGATTATTGAGTGCATGTAAACGCATCCATGCTTTTTTCTCCTGCAGGGTGGACTACTGTAGTGATCTTTCACTTGACTCTAGACTTCCCAAAAAGACCATTAAACAGCTACAGCTCATTCAGAATGCTGCTGCTGGAGATTTAACAAGGACCAGTTCTAAAATCTTTACACTGGCTTCTAGTTAGTTATAGAACAGACTTTGAATACTGGTACTAGTCTATAAATAAAAGAATACAAACAAAGTGGGTCTCTTAGAGCCTGTTTACACCTTGCATTAACATGTGTTTTGTGTCCAGATCATATCTGGATCAACTGTAGTTGGATTATACATTTTAAAATGCGTCCCCAGTTTGACCAGATGGGATCCAATTGCACTTTTCCTGTGTAAAAAGCACATACATTTTTTTTTCCATCATATTTTTGTTTACATTTTTTGTTACAACATGAGTGGACAAGCTCAGCTCGGACACTTTCATCGGCATGGAGTGCATGAAGGCTCTTGGTTTCGGGTCTAACTCCATCTTTCTTTCCAGTTTTTATTCTCTCCTCTGCTAGTCAGTGCTCAACAGACGCATTTCCGCTCACGTAGTTATATACAGACAATGAAAATGAATTCTGCTTGCACGGATTTTGCTGAGTATGGTTAAAATCTTTCTCTGATCACCTTTTAATGTGGTTTGAGTATAATCCTCTCACAAGGCATCTTGGAGATGTTTACACCTGTTTTTTTTTGGTTTTTTTTCATGTGGTCAGAATGTGAGCCGATCATCAAAAGCACATGTTAATGAGAGGTGTAAACAGGCCCTTAGATCCATGTATACAGATCAACTAGTAGAGCCCAGAGTCCAAACTAAGCATGGTGAAGCAGCATTTAGCTGTTACACTGCATACGACTGGAACAAACTGCAAAAAGATCTCAGATGTGCTCCAAATGTAGCAATTTTTAAATCCAGGTTAAAATCATTTCTCCTTTGATGTGTTTATGATTGAGTTCTTACTGTAAAATAAGCTAATATTAGTAACACTCAAGCCCTTTGTCTATAATTTTCTTTTAATATTTTCATTTTTCTTCTATGCACTTCTTTGTACTTACTTTATAAGCTATTGTGACTTTTTTATTTTTATTCATTTTCATTCTTAAGCACTGTGTTTTTATGTTTCCTTTTGATGTTCATTTTGCTTTTATTTATGTAAAGCACACTGAATAGCCTTTGTGTGTGAAATGTGCTACATTAATAGGCTTCACCTTGCCCAGAGATCCCTGATTAAATCCACTGTTTTTCTAATGTGGGAGGAACACTGCTGGCATCAAAACTTGGCAGAGACAACTTTTAGTCTTTTGAAATCAAGCATCTCCACATAAGTATTCTATGCTCATTTTGTCAAGAGGTCTGTCATCAACTATGTAGTTGCAGATTGACTGCGTCACTACTGATGTTCTTGATTTTACAAGAGCAAACAGCAAAACCAGTACTCGCTCTTGGGTTCATAAACAAACTGGTATTGTAAACATTCAAACAATGTAATCAAAGTCTATAAACATCATAGTAATGTTTTATTGGCTTCATGGATGAACTTTTAGAAAATGACAGAGAAAAATCACATGAGTAAATCAAACAGTGTAAGACAGTAGTACCAATCTGGAAACTCTGGCAGACAATAGACCTCTGAGGTCTCGTCACTTCATAGTTTGCTGTTAACACCAGCTGGGACTGGGAGAAAACCAGTTTAGACCTGAAATAACATTCAGAGCATGACTACAGAATGACGACATGACTTCAGAGGTCTGTAGGGAAAATGAATGGTGTTCATATAATGCTATGGGATTAATGAATGAATCACAAAGTCTATACATTCTGTCTTGTGTACATTTTGCCCTGAATATCATTGTGTGATATCATTCATGAAATCAATACATAGTCGAAATAAGAACATTGTTACACACATTCCTAAGCACTGAACTGACAAACTAAGACTGGCAACCTCACCAAAATACCCCACACAAACCAGCAAGCTTTGTCAAGTATGGTAGTTAAGTGGCTAATTTGAGTAGCTACTGTTATATAACAGTATTCATTTTAACCTTCATCTTACTTGTATGTAGCATGTATGTAGCAATACTAGCATTTCAGCTCCTTGACAACCTTATAATTCAGATGAAGTGACATTCAGGGGTAATAAACGTGTGGATAAAACATACTTAGAACATTTTTGTCAGCCATATTGGTGATTTTCAAAAACGCAATTGATTTTTCCCATAGATAAAACTGGATTTGACCCAGAATTCCTTATTTGGGAGTCATAAGAAGTTGTGACAGTGCAGATAAATTCACAGTGTATAAAAGAAATGAAATGAAATTGTTCAGGTTTAAAGCAGAATTGGGGCCATGTTGTGTTTTGGACGCTGCTGAGAGGCGTGGGCATATTTCCTTTGGAAGTTTGGATGCCCTCCAGTCTCCTTGGCGTGCTCCAAGGATTTATCAGGGTAAACATACCACATCACGACTCCGGACGGGTTGATGGTGACGGTGAAATGGGTGTTAACTGACGGCAAAGACACAGTTTCATCTTTAAACACATCATAGGCCTGCGGGGGAAAAAAACAATAGTGAAAACACAAGATTGTTTCCTTAAAAACACTTTGTCCAGTCAATGTCCTTTAAATGATTTTGGAGTTTTATTGTTTAATGTGCACTTCTGAAGTAATGTATGGTATAAAAGGAGCTTACCTAGCCTTCCATTGTGAATACAGTGAGGAAAATTGATTCTAGAAACTCTAATATACAGCTAATGTATCAAAGCAATAACAATTTTATCTCCTGGGGCTGGTTGCACCAACAGGGCTTACGCCTGGTTGTAATCTAAGCCGGTGGTAACTTTAAGACTGTTGCACCAGCTAGTCATAAGCTAAATACTTGCCAAGACTGGGTGTAACTTTTAAGTCTAACTGGATGCAGGCATAATAGTTCTTTGACCTGTTCTAGGCTATTGTAACCATTCACAAAGAAGTGGTTATATCAGTTCATTGAGAAAGAGCTGTCAGATCTGATTCTCATATATTTTAAAACTCTAATTTAAACCAAAGTCGTTGTTTCATTTATTTAGGGTCAGATCAGGGCAACCGGAACCACGGTGGCGAGCAGGCATTTGACCCACCTTTTTTTCAGAGTACTGTGACGATGCCTTACTACTTTTTGAGTTCAGGACACACACATAAAAACCTCTACACCCCTAAACTGCAAGAAGCACTGACCAGCATGAACAGGCAGAATAAAACTTCCTGGCAGAGCCAATCAGAATCTACATTTCACAAAGACGATAAGTCTCTCTATTTTCTGTTTTTTGGTTTTCATGGTGGTGAATGTGCAAGTAACAGAATGCTTGCATCCCTGCAAACCATCTGATCAACAAACAAGCACACACGTGTGTAATTTAGTTCACTTTAGTCTGTGCAGTCCACAATCCAAACTAAAGGAAAGAGATAAAACAACACAAGAAAAAGCTGTGGTGCTGCCTTTAGAAAATGATCTGGGCATGAAAACAGCCTGACAGTCTTCAGAGATGTTAGATAACAAATGCTGCTATCTGAGGCTGCACCTACTGAAGCAGCATCAAACAAACACTGACACTGTTCATGATTGGGTTCAGAGGTGGGTAGAGGAGGCTAAATCAATACTCAAGTAAAAGTGTTGATACTTGCAGAAAATAATTACACAAGTGAAAGTACTTTACCCAAAGCAACTTGAGTAGAAATACAAAAGAAGCAGGTCGAAAATCTACTTAAGTACTGAGTACTGCAGTGGACTGAGTACTGCAGTGGAACTTCTTAGTACATCCAGCATTTATTAGCATAGGAACTGAAGATTGTGCAGCTATGTTCTTCTCTTTTAGGGATTCTAAAATACAAAGTCAGAGATGTAACCAATGACAAAGCAGTACATATATTGCCACTATCAAAACATACTAAAATTTAACACAAAAATGGAATCCATTAATATTTTACTGAGGTACATGTATTGAGTAACTAGTTACTACCCCACTCTGAATAGGTTTGTAAAGACATGTTATTAGGAATTTTAGTCAGTGGCCTCATTTCGTCGTTTGTCGTTTTTTTTATTATTTTTGAAACAGTATGTTTTGCCCAACCACTTTTGGAGGTGTGGCGCCACCCCTGGGGTCCGAAATTCTTTCTTCTGATATTATTGTGTGCGTTTAAAAGCAATCTTGTATGATAAAGTCCTCATCTTGACTTACTGCTAGTGTTTAGAACAGAAGCAGACTGCAGAGCCATTCTTCCAGAGCTAAAGTCCATGTTCCACACACAGAAAAATGTGAAGAGCTGTGGTGTTTTAGGGGTGAGTTGAAAATACAGGATCAAAAATGAAATGCTATTCTACCGTGTGCTGTCCTCCCAAATCCTCCCCCGCTGACGTTTTTGTAGAGTTATGACACTTAAGCTTGGAAGAAGAATCACATCCACACCTCCTCCTTCTCTAAATTCTATGCCCTATAAATTTCCCCTCTCTGCAGTTTCCTGATGGAAAATTCACATCCCACCACCACCCAGTCTCCTCTCACAACTGGTCTCAATTACTGAGTGATGTCCAGCTTCATTGAATGCGAGAAAAGCCACCCAGAACTCCTGCCCAAGCTTCTCAGTTCCTCTCTCTGTCTCAGAGTTAGTTTGGGGTGTGGACCAAACTCATAAATTCTTTGTAAACTGTAGCTGTTTATCTATCAGTGACTGTAAGCAGACTTAATAATTGAATGAATACAAGTTTCACAGTTAATATTTTAGTAGTATCAGTTGGCAAGTTGCCATTAGTAGGTAGCTGTGCAGCAGTTTTGCTTAGCAACACAGGGTGCTCAGAACTGTTATTGTTGCATGTGTTTTCCCTTAAATGTACTACTAAGACCAGTCATTGTTGCACCAGCCCATAACTTTTGTTGGTGCAACGAACATAAAATCCTCTCTGAAAACTGGTTATACAACCTATTCAAGCTGGATTAGTTTTACCAGATGTGGTCCGGTAATGTAATTTGTGTTTGACTAGCTGATTCGTATAGGATAAAGGATCTGTGTAATTTCCCCAAATTACCCCAAATAGCCCGGATCGAAACATCATTAAGCAGATGTTTATGCCAGCAATAAGCAACAGGTGCCAGCTGCTTCACAATATGTTGTGCAGCTAAATGGCAAATATGGCACCAGAAAAAAAAAAAAAATAGATATAGGAGGAGACTTTACATCAAATTTTGGATTTCAGGAGTCTTGTCATGAATTTGAGGATTAAGAAATTGGGTCAAATCAAGCTCCGTTTAGCTGTTAGCCTTGCCTTCGGGTTGCAAAAAAAGAAAAACAATGGAGGTGGTGTTTTCTATTATCTGGGTTTATTATTATATTACTATGCTGTTGATTTATGATGTTGATTCGAACAGGCTACTGCTACTGAGTGAGCTCTGAGTTTGGTGATTATAGAAGGTAATTCATTCCAGAATTATTACTTAGTAAAACCTATGGACATTGCAGATCGTACTGGATTAAAATCACGGATCTCATCAGTAATCACTCAAATTACAGCACCTCCCCAGGTAAAACGAATTCAGCTTGAATAGGGCTTAAGCTACGACTGACTTAGCAGTTAAGACCAACTTAGTTAAGACCTGTTGGTGCGACCAGCCTCTGGTATTACTGGTAAACTACGACTATATCACTGCATAGATTTAAAACTTATGCTTCTCTGACATAACTTATGATATGCTTCTACAGTCTATGTATTAAAATGGCAAGGCCAAGATGTGCTAAACTACTTAGAACATGGCACTTTTGGCAGCATTAAAGTAAAGCGTTAGGGTTTGTTAATTGTGTTGCTGATGGAGTGCCATCTGACCGTATAGCTGTCGGATGTGTAGTTAAGCAGGCTGAGGGTCGAGTGGTAGCGGTAGGGCATGTCTGTCCGTCGACTCAGGAACACCAGTGCACTCGCAGATTTGGACAGAGGCCTCCAGAACACCTCAATATGGCCCTCATCCTGAGACAGCAAAATATCAAGAGCACATTAAATCACATCATTTTAGCAGCAGCAAACCATGACTGTGGAGCTAGGACTTCAATTTGGGCTTCAGGAACACAAGGAACCCACTTCAACAATAGTGTTAACCTCTGATAGCATTCTTATGGGATTCTAGTAGTTTGTTAGCTCTAAGCTAACAGCGATTCACACTAATTATTTTTTAGCTGTTCTGGATTAAACACAAACACTCAGTATTTTACTTAAAGCTTGTGACAGACATTAGCATATGCTCCACCATGTAGCAGTTTTGCAGGGAGTCAGTAGAGAGGCCTGGTATAGAGCTGCTGCTGCTGTTTTCCATTTCTAACAAGCCACTAATTAGCCTGTCACTGGTATTCACAATCAGTCACATATCCAGAACTTCCAGAAGGAGTACAGTGGCATTTTTTCCTCACAAAATGAAGTAATAATATCAGGCATAATTACCTAATGCATTACTAATTACCATTAGTTTAGTATAACATTATTCAGCTCATTCATACATGTTGTTTACTTATCTTGAAGGCAGCCTGACTGTACAGCCTAACTGATCTGAAATATTCTGTAATATATTTACCTGCAGTATGCGTCTCCCCTGGATGCCCAGAGGGTCCTGATTGATGGCAATGGCTGCTTTGTTCTGTAGGATATTCCGGGCCTCACCAGTCAGAGTTCGAAGATCATTTGACATGATCAGAGGCGCAGCCATGATGGCCCATAAGGCCATCTGAGCTTGTGATTGCTCCAGATTCAGCCCAAAGTTCCCAATGATCAACTGAAAGACAGAAAATAAAAAATAAAGGTTTAAGTTTAAAGGGATTAAAAAATGTTGGTTTTAATGCAGTGCTGATCAATAAAATAGTTTTTTTCCAGTTTTTTTTTTTTCATCTCATAAGTCATAGGTTGTGCGAGAAATCTGTAGCGCATGTCTACTCTCACAACCCAGCTGTCGCAATCCAGATGATAGAAATAGAATTAGAACATTGGCTGATTGATAGAAATCCATCTGAAGTTGAACTACAGCACTTGTATATGGATCAGGGGTCTACACCCATTTCCATGGTCACACTACACTCATTTTCAAGGTTTTGCCACTCCCATTTATAGAGTTATGCTACACTCATTTCCATGGTTACACTACACCCATTTTCATGGTTAAGCTACAATCATTTACAAGGTTATGCTACACTCATTTTTATTATTATACTACATTCATTTCCATGGTTACAGTACACCCTATTCCAAGGTTACTGTACACCTATTTTCGAAGTTAAGGTTCACCCATTTCCATGGTCATGCTATACTCATTTCCAAGGTTACACTACATACAGTTCCATGGTTATGCTAGGCAGGTCACTGAGTAAGAATTTTTATGAAGACACACCCATCACAGCTGCATACTATTGCTGTGAAGATTGTAAAATTTGTTTGAAATATTCAAAATCATACAATAAAAAGAAAAAAGAAGATGTTAATCATTTGAGAAGATAATAATTTACTCTGCGTTTCTGCACATTTCAATAACATTATAGTTTTATAGCTATGAATTACATCATTAATAGTGAAATAGGGTGACTTCTTTAAGGGTGACATTAAAATCGCCACACAAAATTTGATTTTGTCACCCCAAATGCTAAGCTAGCTAAACAGCCCAATGCAGAATTTGGTCATTTTAGCCACGTAGCTACTTTTTTATTATGTTAATGTGGGGAGCAATAAAGCCTGGCAGAGGCAAGCAGTGATGTGGACTAACCATATCGGGGTCATTCCAGTGGCCAGGCCCTGAAACAGGCTGGAGATCGTCCTGGTTTTGGAAGAACCAATCAACAATCCTCAGCACACTTTCCCAGGAGTCCTCAATGTCATCATAGTTACGCCACAGGTTACAGATTTCTCCCAGAAATGTGTAGTTTACCTGCAGGACAAAAATACTGTGATGTCGTCTATGCTAAGGACACAATGACAAGCGATTGAGAAGCTAATTCAGGCATAGTGTTAGACATCAACTGCATCGTCCTGCTACAGTCGTCAGTTATGTGTTCATCATATAAAACCTATTTGTTATTTTATTTAATTTACTTGTTCATTCACATTGTTTTACTTACACTTGGAGGAAGTCCACCACGGTATGCAGGCCAGCTACAGGAGTAGGCGATTGGACGTCCAGTGGCATTTAGGGCCTTGGACATGAGAGGAAAACCTGTAGAATGCAAACAGCATGTGTTTAAATTCCATAGATTATATTATTATGGAAGAATATCAGCACCAGAATTATCAGCACCCTTAGTACAGATGAGGTTAAAAAATGTTTTTGATGTTTTTCATTTTGATCTTACATGGAAATATGAGGGAAATCCTTACATTTTAGGAAAAAAAACATATACGTCAGCCTACATACACATTATCCTAAACTTAAAAAATGAGGATTGTCTTGACTTATTAACTGATATTTTATTATAAGTAATGAAACATTTTCCTAGTTAGACCCTTTGAACCTTCTAAGGTAGTGTGGATATAGTCTTCATTAGAACTGCTCTGATGAATCTGTGATTATATCCCTTTTGTCCAAATACAGCCTTTAAAATTCTTTTAAAATGATATTTTCAGTACCTTCGGCAGATTATGCTGGATAGACATATGAACGAAGTAACAAAAGCTACAGCAAAGTGTACACATAAGCTCACCCTCAATAGCCTTCATCGTAACATATTGTATCATGGAGGAGGTCACTGACTGTATACATGATCTTTGGGGTTCTCAGCCTTTCTTCTGCAAGGCCCAAATATTAATCACTATAAAGCATGAAGGCCCACAGGAAAACAAAACTCATCTTTTTGACTATTTTCAGCATAGTAATGTTTGCGTGCCAACCCTCATGATATGCAGTGCATGTCATTGAACATGAAATGTCAACAAATAAGACTAGCATTAGTATGTTTTGTACCAAAAATCAGGTAGAATAGTGGCAAATTAAGCGAATTGCATCTTTTACGCTCTCAAGTGGATGCCAATCGAGTGTGTTTTGTTAAATTTAGAAGGTTAAACACTAGTTAAATTAAGTTCATACAACTTATTTCTAGTTTGTACTATAAGCTCCCCAACTGGCAAAGAGGTGCTATTAATTATTTATTTATTTTTTTACCTGAAGAGTAAATTGTTCTGTTAGCATGGTCCTACCCTTCTGTTGTTCATTAACGTTTGAGTAGCAGCCATCAAATTTCAGCATGTCCACCTCCCAGTCTGCAAACGTCTGGGCATCTTTCTCTATCTGATCCAGCATAGTGCCCGGGTACCCAGCACACGTTTGTTTGCCCATGTTCGCATGAATACCCAGTTTGAGTTCGCGGTCATGAGCGTAACGTGCCAGCTTGTGGATTCCATTCGGAAATCTGGAAACAGAGAGAAGAAACATAGGAATAAAAAGAATGAAACCAATCGATTGATTAATATATGAAGAACCTGATCTAACCTAATTTAATGCTGAAAAGAGAGATGGGTGAGAGAGAGACAGAGAGAGAGAGAGAGAGAGAGAGTACCTGATAGGGTCAGGCATTAGCCGTCCCTTATTGTCTCTGGACATGAATGACCAGCAGTCGTCTATAATGAGGTATTTATAACCCAACTTCAACCAGCCATCCTCAACTAGCCGGTCAGCCATGTCTACAAACAGAGCTTCACTGACACACACACACACACACACACAAACAATAATAATTAGGGACTGGCCTGTAAGGCCTAATGTTTTTTGGGAACTAAAAATTCTGCTATTTTTAGATAATTTTCATTCATTAGAATCAAGCATGTTTTCAAACTGTGCATGTACTACAGTACTACACCTGTTTCTTTGAAGTAAGCAAAAGTTAAATTCTTAAAAAGCTGAGCAGAAAATTGGTTAATCAGGAACTGTGGGTTTTTACTCATGTTTTGACAGAGTTTTGACATTTACAGCCCAAATTGAAGGCCTAGCTATAATAGTCATGGTCCTCCACTGTTATACATTATACATAAAAAATAAATACATAAAAATAAATATACATATACATTATACATAATAAACATGTGAGTGCAGTACCTGATGCAGTTTTTAGGGTCAGTCCTGCAGTCAGTGTTACAGCGGAACCGCTCCCAGGACATCCAGCCCATAGGGGGCGTCCTCATCAGTCCGTTGTCCAGTGCCAGAGTGGGCAAAGCCAGCATCAGCAGTAATATTACCTTCCAGAGCATCTCTGAGGAAAGAACATACATAAAAAAAACTGTAAAATCGCATATAAATACAGTTAAAGAGGCAATTTGTAGTTGATCAGCCAAGACCTGCTTGTTGCAATGGAACAAGTAATAGAACCTTACAGTCTAGTGTTTACAGTCATGCAAACTGCATGCTGAAGTGCATTTGCCTAGATATTTTTTATAGATAACACTGTGTCATGTTCTGTGTGGCATGTGGGAAGTATGTGGTGGTTTAGACAAGCAGCTATATTAGCCTTGTGGTTCTAGTGCAAAACTAAAGGTTTCCAACATGTCTTGATTAAAGTAAGCACTTTTGAACGCAGCTTAGTTTGAGGCCCTTCAGTGCTGCAAATGGGGTTATAATAAAACTTACTGAGTCCTAAGAGACCACGCTTATATGGAGCTTGATTTTCTCTTCTCTTTTTTTCATTCTTTCCTTCTTTCTACATTGTGCCCTCCACAAATATGAGCAAAAACATGAGCAAAACATTCTTTATTGCTCATCCTTTTGATCTTTCATTCAAAATATTAACAAAAATTAAACAATACAATGATTGAAAAAAAAAATCTTATCAGGAAATAAAAATGTATCTCAAATCTGTGTGTGCCACAAGTATTGGCTACCCTTTCTTGTGCAGTCTTCTTCTATAACTCGTAATAAGACTTTGGACTCTCATCTTCAGCTCATCCCAGAGGTTTTCTATGGGGTTTAGGTCAGGTGACTGGGATGGTCATAGCAAAACCGTAATTCTGTGGTCAGTGAACACTTTTTGTGTTGTTTTTGAGGTGTGCTTGGATCATCATCCTACTTGAAATTTAAGCTTCCTGGCTGATGGTTTTGATTTTATTTCTGTGATATATATACACATACAAACCCATTGTTGAGAAAAGAAAATCACTGAACGTGTTTGAGTTTACTTGAGAAAAATATCCCTGCAGATTTCTTTAAAAAACTGAAAGCAACAGTTCTAATAAGAATTTAAGCTGTAATAAAGGCAAGGAATGGATGCAGTAAGTACTGAAAAAAAGGTATTACATTTAGTTGTTGAGGCTTTTGTGTACTTTTTCTGTTTAATATAGGTTTTCTGCTTCTATTCCTGGCAGAAAAAATGAACAACTTTGTATTAATCATCTGATAAGGAGAATCAGGTGTCTGTTATTTCTATTAACTAGAAATTAAATAAACAAAGAGTAGTTTATGACTTTTACACTGCACCTTATATCACTATCAGGACAAAGCCTTGTACATGCATTGTTCTCCTTTTCAACAGAGTTTGACAATGCCAGAGGCCTTTATATATTGTGTTAAAAATTCATGAATTTTGTGAGGAATAGATCAATACAAAGGGGGTCTAAATTACTTAAATAAAATCTCATATTAATTTCCAGTTAAAGATAAGAATGTTTCCTCCTTCTGCTATAAAGTTACCATTTTGGAGATACAAAGTTTTGTTCCGACAGCAGTGATATATTGCCTTCTTATTTATTATGTATTTTTAAATTATCTTTAGTGCTAGTCAATGGACAAAGGCGAGTAAATCAGTACTCAGTTTCACACCACATATACTGCACCTACGTGATTTTCCTGCTCTGGCACTTGTGATACTCCTCATCATGTGATTACCAAACACTTTCCTGAGTCAAGTGTGTTTGAGCAAAGAAACAAACAAACAAACGAAAAAATAGTGTAGGTGATCCTCACAACTGAATATGCTGCAAATTATGTGTAAAAAAATACAACTTAGAATAAAAGCCTTGATTTAATAAACTGTAGGCTGTGCAGCTACAACAAACATAAAGCCCTCAGTCATGTGATTGCTGTGATGACTGACATAATCTACTGTCGTATGCACAATATTGTCATTAATAAGCACTTTAAAGTGGATTACCGAAAGTCTAGCTTTCATTTATCCACTTGCTTAAAACAAAGCTGCTGTAAGAAGTATATAAATGTAGGTGTATTTTACCTCTAATACGTCTCACACACTCTCCAGCAGTTCCTTGTTGGGTTTAACTTCCTGTTATTACGCGTACACACATGGCGAGTTCACGCAGATCAGCTGCTCTGAGGTGTGTCACACTCAGCCTGAACTATGAGCCGTTCTGAACTGCACTTCCTGGCTGTGTTCATGCAGCGGATACAGCCAAAGGCTTCCAGGCCTCACATTATCTCTTATGGGAATGTAAAGTTTTGGCTGCTGTATTTCAGGATCCCTGTATGATGATGTGATGAGGCTTATCTGTCTTTCCACTAAGAGCAGTGAAGAACTAACAGCTTTGCAACTGTTGTTATATAGCACACTGTTTTCATGACACATTGCATGGTGCTTTTCCACTGATCTAAATCATTTGAAACAGTTCACCACATGTGTTACACAGTTGGTTTCACACCTCTTCATAGTAGAATAACTTTGAAGAACTTTTTTCTCAGAGCAAAAGCTTTAGGTTTTATAGACGAGACATATTCATTTAATTTCATTCAGTCTTCCCAAAATGTATTTTTAAAAGTGTTTTAAAGCTTGTGTTTTTATCAGCTTTTAACAGCATTTTGCCAAAAAGGTATCAAAAAATAAAACTCTGTCAAACCCAAAAGTTCTTTTTTATGTGTGTAGTTTGACTATAAATCAAATTTGTTTAGTTTTCCACTTTACTCTAAGTTTACTCAGCTGGCCAAGACATATCTGAAGTTGCTTTCTTTAGTTTTGCACAGGAGCTATGAGGCTAATATACTTAATAAGTAATATGCTGCCAATTAGCATCATGCTAACTGCAGAAAGGAAACCTTCATGCTCTTCTAGGCCTCCAGAAAAGGTCTAATGATTCCTGGGAACTAAAAATATATGTCTGTAATTTTTACTTCCAGTGGCAGATCTAGAGAAATTTACCAGGGGTGTCTGGGAGTTTTGGCAGGGTTTGGCATATTAATGTGGCTCCTGGGGTTTGGAGGGTGGGATACTTTGTGTTCATATCAGCAGCTGTATGTCTAATACAATTTTCATTTGCAGGACAATATCTCTTTACATAGTTTATATCTATTTAATACAGATTTATGAACAAATTTAAAAAAATAGCAAAACAACTTCAACCAACATACTTTGCTGTGAACTACTTGGTAGTTTTTACTGCACTGAATTTTTCCCTCAGTCCTGTTTCAAACAACGTCCACTGAATAAGACAGAAATGGGCTCACATGTTTAACCAAAACAATTTCACAGGCTGGCCAAAAGCTGCAAAGAGATTGCAGTTTGTAACTGAAGAGACTAATAAATCACAGTCACAGATTTTTTCTAATCATGCCTTTAGATGAATTCAATTGTAGTGAAACACTGAACGCTAACTGACCAAATGCAGCTCTAATAGAGTTTCTTGCTGTTGATTTTATTTATTTGTTTAGCTTATGTGTGTGTTTGCCAACTACCTCTGAACTGTATGTAGCACTGTTATGGTGTTGTCATACAATTTAATCCAGTGGGCCAGCGGTCCTTGAACTTTTTGACCCAAGGACTCAAATCCTAGCGGGGTTATGAGGAGCCTGGCCATTTCCTATTTCCCCCATTATATCAAAAACATGACTGCAAAATGCCAGAGAGCATCCGCAAGCGAGTACTCGATGAATGGGGGTGAATGGAGTTCAACGGCTAAAAACGAAAAGTTAAAATAGTTTCTAATCACTCACCCAGAACTTTCTTTTAATTTTAGAAAGTAGAAGGATGTATTTCACTAAAAAAGCAAAGCCGATATATTTCCTTTTTTCTACAGCAAATGGGTTTTGGGCAGCAGGACGCTAGCATTACTACTGCTGAGCAGCCCACTGGCTGTTTGCACTCACAGACATCATGGACGTAAATGAGGTGCCGTTTTAAACTCCTGTAACTCGAGTTCAAAAGCGCTCAAAGATATATTAGCAGTGTTAAAATGTTTTAAGCTGTTCTGTGTTCAGGAAATGATTGTATCCTTACACATTAAAAAGGTTTAAGCATTTATAAACTATAATTTTGCTCAAATGCTCCATCTTAACCTATTCATTCATAACCCACTCATTTGGGAGTGCCCTCTAGTGTTTGAGAAACCTGGAAGACATTACAGAGTTGTAATTACCCTCTCTACAAGTTCTCTGCACAAATGTTCAAGTTCACCATTGCCCTCCAGGCCGCAATATGGGCACTAGAACACTATAGGGAACAGAATTTGTGATGGGAGTCAATGATTTCGGATACTAATGTTATATGGGTTTGCTCATAACCCACAAACAACACAGTGTATTATGGGTATCCCTTGTCTGCTAGGATACATTGGTTGTACACACTACTTATTGTGGTGCACTATGGGGTTGTTTGAGTGCACTGCATCTTCTGCACTTCGTCTTTGGACAGTACTACAAAATAATGTAAGCCCAAAATAGTGCACTATATATTGAATAGGGTGCAGTTTCGGGCAGATCTGAGGAAAATTCAGTTGCGACACATAGTTTAAAAATCACTGCAGTAAATATTGGTTGCTGTTTTTTTTTTATGAAATGCAACACAAAAGGGCTACAGCTTCTACTGTTTCAAACTACAGGCCTAAATCATCAAACACTCACCTCAGAGCGCAAAGAGTAGATCAGTAATGTCAAACAGACTTGCTTATTTGGTTTCTGTGTGAGGGATTGTCAACTTGTGGCCAACACAACCCACCACAAACGCTTCCACAGCCCACAAAAAAGATTTGACCAGATCTTTTCAAATGCGAGCAAGCATAAAAAAACAATAATTAATGTGTCAAACTTCATGCAACATAACTCACAGCAGCACTGCTGTGTCTGATCCACTCGTACCAGCACAACACACACCAACATGACAGTTTCAGCTCAGTAGTGCAGAGAATGATCCATTACCCAAATAATACCCACTCTGTGGTGGTCCTGTGAGGATGGGTGGGTGTTAAACTGCAGGGCCTCATCTCAGCAAAGATTAGCAGTTTCCCCTCTACTAATACTGAATTAAACTCTTTGAATGAAGTCTTTGCTGATTAGCTGTTCAGTTGAATCAGGTATGTCAGATGAGGCAGGACAATAAACTCTGTATTGCAGTGGCTCAGAAGAAACTCTGACACCCTTTAGCTAAAGTCTGCGTGTGCTGTACTGAATTAGCCAGCAGATGGTGCACTCTTCCCAATAACAGTTTGCATTCATTGGCATTAGTGCCAAAAGATACACAAACCAAAAGAAGCAACTATGGATTTTAACGTATTGAAGCAAATGTTGGGGTCTACCCCTTGCTGAATAAACAAAACACTACAGTAATAACTGAAAGCCTGTCAAATAAAATTGCTGAAATGAAAGTAGAATGAGATGCTAAAAGGCTTTTCAGATGTTATGTAATTTAGAGATATGACACTCAACACAAATATCAAAGGAGTGGAATTCGACTGAAAATGTGCAATAAGCTACAAAACTGAAAATCAGTTTATTAATGCAAGCACAGATGCAGGCAGGCATCCTACAGAAAGAGCAAAGCAAACAGCATTTAACTGAACACAGTTCAGAATTATACTCAGCCTCCGAGGAACATTTAGTTACAAAATAAAACAGTCTGTGTGCATCCATTATTGTAATCATAATACTTTACAAACAAAAGAAAAATATAAAAGAAAGACCTCATAGCAGGAAAGTTCCCCTTTTTCTTATATTTTTCTTATTTATACAAAAGGGTCAAAAAATTAGTGCGGTTGAAGTGCACGCAGTCACTCAAGCAAAAGGAGACATACCAAACAGCAAAAATCTGAAATTTATGCAAAGATTCTACTTTCTCAACAAATTGGTTGAGAATATTAAATTAGAAAAGAATGCAAAAGAGAAGCATTTTCACCAAGAGTCTCAGAATTTTGGACCCCACTGTGCATATTTCTATAAAATGAAATCAGTTGTTTACACCAAACGTGAGATCACAGTCTTAGTTGTGGTTGTACTTGGCCCAATGTTGGGTTTGAGTTTAAATAAAGAAAAGTTCAGTGGTTTGCTCAGGACTGGGACTTTGAGTGTTTTATGCTGGTAAAACTCTTCTGTAGTAATATAGCAGGTACAAAAGCAGATTTTATAATATCAATATTTATTACAGTGTATTGAAGTTTCATTATTTTAATATTTATAAGACCTCATGCCAGAGAAGATGACAAGCACATGAAACTGCTCAAATCTGCAGGTCATTGGGTGCTGCTCGCCTGCTGCTGGAACTGCTGGCCAGTGAAGTGCGGCGACTGGGTGATGTTGGCAGCCGTGGGCTTCGGTGTGATTCTGAGCTGGTCTCCTCAATGGAATCAGGAGTGCTGGGGCGGCTCTTCCTGGGTTCCGCCCTGAAGGAGGCTCGTGGACGAACACTGGAGGACATAGACCGGGCTTTAGACTCTCCCACTGAGTCTGAATCTGACGCAGTTCCTTCTGCCACGGGGGCACAGTTCCATGGTGCTGTGACCTTCCATGACCTCTTTGCTGGGTAAGAAGAGGAGTGAGAAGGATCCCTGGGTAGTCCTGGCGATTCAGGCTTTTCGCATTCCTGGTCTTCTTCGTCATGTGTTGGTAAGTGAGTGCTCTCCTCCAGGTCCTCTTGCTTGGGAGGTGTGATGGATTCTCCAGCTGGGGATCGTGTGGTTTCACTGCTGGTGTTGTTGGAGTTACTGTTGTGCTCTGTTGGGCTATGCAAAGCGTCCTTTGGTGCATCCGAGCCACTCTTGGTTGGAAGGTCACCTTGCACTGGCAGGAATGCGGAAGAGGGGTTGATTAAAGGTGGATAGGAAGGTCCGTCATGTGGCCTCTCTATCAGAAGGTTATAACTGCTTGGGGCTGAAGGTATAGTGGCCTTGCGGCCAGTGGAGATGCCTATACAAGTCTGCATAGCTACAGAATCTTTCTTGGCCTTGTTGGGAAAGTAGCCATCATCCAGGTCTGTGTGCCTCAGCTGTGGGTACAATGCCAAGATGCCCTTTTTGAGCTTCTTGTAGCCCAGATGCATGATCTCCAGGATGTTGAGGAACAAGGAAATAGCGGCAATGCACTGCATGAACACCATGAAGACGCTTTTTTCAGTAGGACGGGACACAAAGCAGTCAACGACGTTTGGGCAAGGCTCCCTCTCGCATTTGAACAAAGGGTCGAGCTGGAAACCGTAGAGAAGGTACTGACCTGTCATGAAGCCTACTTCCACTGCAGAACGGGTCACTATATGAGCAACGTAGGTGCGCAAAAGTGAACCTCTCAGTGGGGCCTTGTTCAGCTTGCCTTGGTCAATTTGGCGAAGTTCTCGCTCTATTTTCCGGCGAACTTCGGCCATTTCTGTGTCCAAAACCTCCAGCTCCCGCCGCAATGCTGTTTTCTTCCTTTGTCGCTCCTTTTCCAGGGCACGGAGTCGGTACAAAGCATGGCCCATGTACACCAGCGAGGGTGAGGAGACGAAGATGACCTGCAACAGAGGTGTAGTTTATGTAAAATCAGGGTTTATGCCATACACCCATTAGTGCTGTGGCTCTAATGTGGTATTAGAGTACCTATTATTCCTGTTCTAATATACCTATTTTAACAAATCAGCTAATTAGTAAGCACAGGGAACCAATAGTATTTGAGTATGCTGACAACACATTTGCATATTTGGCAAATATTCTATGTAAAGTGTTCAAAAAAAAAAGAAAAGGAAAAAGTTGCAAAATAAGGAGTATTCTGACCAAAAACTAGCATTTAATATGTTGTCATTTTATGTAATATTCTGTAGCATAGCATTACATTCCTCAGCCTCATCAGCTTGTCAGAATTCATGATTTTATTCCATTTTCATTTAATGTGGCTGCTAACAAAGCCATTGATGTATAGGCTAATAAATCCACATGTTATATTTGCCTTCCTTGCAGAAATGTTATCTATTTGTCCTCCTTCAGCGTTTACCAGTTAGCGGAAAATAATTTCAAATAGCTCCTTCAAGTATTGGCCCTTGTAATTTTGCAAAAGTTCCGCTCACCTACAAGATACATCATCAGATGAGGGCTTTCCTACTTTTAAAATCAGAAACTCTGCAAGCAAGACTGAAGGTGGAAAATAGGTATGTTTAGAAAAGATATAGCAATTATTACATTTTTATGTTGGCTGGAGCCCCTTTGCAAAACAAACAAAATAGCCATGGGAAAAAACTCTCCCTCACTTTTGGTCTACCTGTGTGACAAGATAACAGAATAATAATTACAATGCCTTTAGAATCTAGGCTCAGTACACCAGTGGTTCCCAATCAGAGTACTGGAAAACCAATGCTTGTGTTTCCCATCTCTGCCATATTTTACCCAAAACATAAGAGGCTTGATGATTTGATAATCATTTGAGCTGGGTGCTGGGTTGTGATTTGGAGCCCCTTGTTTACTGTGATTAGCTTCTAAAAGAGCATCGACCATACTTTGCCTCAGGCACTCAGCCTGACAACAGCAATACTCATTACTTCAGTGTAGCCTACATCACTTACCTGTAGCACCCAGTAGCGGATGAGGGAGATGGGGAAGGCACGGTCATAGCAGACATTGCGGCAACCTGGTTGCTCCGTGTTGCAGATGAAGTCGGCCTGCTCGTCATTCCACACATCCTCCGCTGCCACACCCAACACCAGCATACGGAAGATGAAGAGGATGGTCAGCCATATCTTCCCCACCATGGTGGAGTGGATGTGCACCTCCTCAAGGATTCCACCCAAGAAGTTCCAATCACCCATTTTCACAGAGTCATTTCTGTGGGAACAGGAGGATGAGAGGCCAAGAAACGGGAATGAAGTTCAACACAAAGCGTAACCAAATGATGGAACTGTGGCTCCAACTGCACTGAAGTAAATGCTGTGCAACATGCATATCAGTGCAGAAAGTATGTCAAGGGTGTGCAAGTCAACTTCTCTTAAACTAAATCTCAGTTCACCAATGTAAACCAGATTCAGACAGGCATCCTACAGAATGAGGAAAGCACAGTCAGCAATTTACTGGATGGAGTTATTCAGAAAATATTACAACCTTTATGTAAAGTTATTATTGTTAATACTTTGCACAATGAAACCTGGAAGAAATCGATTAGTTACTGACTGTTAGTTAACTTCTGATAAATACAAATGTAAAAATCTGTACACTGTCTGGATTTAGTTACGAAATGAAGATCAGAATAAAAAAAAGGTCACATACCTTAAAGAAAAGAATACAAAATGAAGAAAACTAAATGCTTCATTGCAGCTTAGAGGCCTCAAAAGTAATCCCACCTCTGCTACATGGTTAAAAACAGTAGAAAGCAAGGCAATGTCACTGTGTACTGAATCTGCTCCAACAAAAAATAAAACATTTCTTCTTTGGTTCAATTTATAGTCCTGCAAAAGAAATCAATGGAATCCCCGCCCCCCCCCACCCCCCCACCCCCCCCGCCACATGACATGGGAATGAGTGTGGGTGTGATTGAAGATGTGGACTTGACCATTGGCATTTGCATGGATGTAGTCATTGGTGTGGTGTCTGACTATGTAAAGGGGTGTGGCATGGGAGTTGTCAGAGGCAGCCTGACTGCAATGCAGGCTGAACAAAAGTACATTGCATACCTACAAGCAGTAATAGCATCTTGCAGCCTGAAGTTTGTTTTTGGATGTTCTAGCTGTGGATTTTTGGATATGCATTATTTGGACGAAAGCATGCAAAGACCAGACCATCACATTCTATATGAAATTGTTGTACATCCCACTCCAAAACCATGGACATTAATTCCTTAAAATCCCAGGCATGTTACACACCTAAAGATTACTATTCAGTAACTATAGGGACTGCAGAAACACCCTTGTTAATGTCAAAAACACATAAGCAGGTCTATTCGAGATCTATTCAAAGTTAACTTTAAACATGTCTTGACTGAGCAGCTACATTATGGACAAGGAGAAAACTGGTTGAATTTGATTTTTTGCTGAACTATTCCTCTCCACATGGAACTCAACTTTAGTGACCTTTCTTTCTGCACTGTGTCGCTGACAGGCAAAATTTTAATCATTGGTTCTCTCCACATGTGGAACTCAACTTTAGTGACCTTTCTTTCTGCACTGTGTTGCTGACAGGCGAACGTTGGCAAGGGCACAACCAGGTCATGCTGCGTCATTAAGGGACAGCCCAGAGCACAACATGATGAGGCTCTCTTACAACACTGAACTCATTAACCATGCAGACAGGAGAAAAACATATATAAGCATAAATAAACACTTTTCAAATTCATGGGCATCCTTGTTGCACATGCACCACTTATTTACTCCCACACGTGCGCTCGTGCTGCTTTTAACAGTCCCCCTCCAGCTGCTCGTTTGATTATCAATTAGCACTTTTAATGGAGCTTTAGAGCTCTAAAGACAAGCACTTTAAAACATCAAAGCTCAGCACTTCACTTAAATGGGTGACGAGTGTCCGCACTTACTTGTCAACTGCATTTATTTGCAATGCATTTATCTTAAATTAATTAATCTGTATTTCTTAAATTTGATATCTTCATGAGGAGCCACCTGAAATGCTTTTCCAGGCTTGATGAAGATATAAAGTAAGGAGAAAGAAATAATAGAAATTAGCATCTAAAATGTATACGCACATTTACAGAAATCAGCATTGTTCCAGAATGATGTACTCTGGTTCCACAAAACAAAAATAGAAATCTTCAATAATTCAGCTTGTCACGTTTGGAGAAACAAAGGTGTACGATCCAAAGAACACTAAACTCACAGTGAAGTAGAAGGGTGGGAGCATCATGATATGGGGCTTCTCTGCAAATGATACTGGGGTATTACTACATGTCATCAATTCTGAACATGGGCAATTCAACTAGACAACAACCCCAAACATAAAGCCATAATAACTCAAGACTGTTTTCTTCGGAAAAAAAGGTGAAGGTGCTTGCAAGTCCTAGCCAATCTCCTGACTTAAATCCCAATTGGAGGTAACTGAAGATAATTTCCCAAGACGAAAACACCATTGATGTCTCAAAGGTGTAGTTACCAGCAATAGCTTTGCAACAAATTACTAATTTTATTAATTTATGGTGTTGGAACACTTTTTTTCTCAATCTTTTTTGTCCACTTTCAGTCCTTGTTTATGCTTATGAATACAAACTTTTTTTATGCTAATAGGTACAAAGTCAAAAGATATGTGTATAAACTTGAAGTAGTATAATAAATAACAAAACTATACTCACAACACGCTGTCTGAGAAACTACTTGTTTGGGGGTATTTTAAAACAACATTATTATTCATTATGTCTTTTCATAAGCATTTCATAAATCATAAACCTTTATATGAAAATGTCTTAAAGATTCTAAAAAACATACTCTATATGTTTTTATGTTTATGTACATATATACACATTATATATATATATATATATATATATATATATATATATATATATATATATATATATATATATAAAACTTTACACTAGATGTTGGAAGGATTTGATTGCATTCAGCTACAAGTGCATTAGTGAGGTCAGATACTGATAATGGATGATTACTTCCACTCCAACTCACATCCCAAAAGTATTGGATGGAGTTCCATCACTCCAGAGAACACAGCTCCACTTCTCCACAGCCCAATAATGTTTTTTTTTTTTTTACCCCTCTAGTCGACGCTTGGCATCAGACATGCTGACCATCAGGATTGGGAGGGTTACTTTAAAAATATAGTTTTGGGTGACACACACACTTTCTAACCTGCTTATCCTTCTGGCTCGCAGGGGGGAGCCCGTGCCTATCCCAGCAGTCATACGTTGGAAGGCAGGATACACCCTGGACACACACACACACCTAGGGGCAATTTAGCATGTCCAATCAGGCTGGCTGCATGTCTTTGGACTGTGGGAGGAAACCGGAGCACCCAGAGGAAAGCTACGCAGACACAGGGAGAACATGCAAACTCCACACAGAAAGGACCTTGGTTGCCTGGCCAGGAATCAAACCTAGGCCTTTCTTATTGTGAGGCAACAGCGCTACCCACTGCACCACCATGCCACCTGTTTTGGATAGTGTCGGATGGAGTGGTGTAAAACATGCCGCTATTGGACTCTGACACAATTTGAGACAATTTGTTCTCTGCAGTGATGAATCACGCTTCACTATCTGGCAGACTGATGGATTAATCTGGGGGGCATAATATTACTTAAAATACTACGGCAGTTGCAAACATCCTACATCCTAAAAATATTTTTTCAAATTTAAATAATGTCATTTCTGTTATACATATATATAGATATATATATATATAGAGAGATATATATATATATATATATAAAGATTTTATATCTAGAAGTGCAGCTTGAACATGTGGTTGCTGTAGTTCAAAGTGTTAACCCACCATAATCTGTTAATGCTGTGGAAAACAGGCGGTTCTCTGATCAAATTTGACCAGGATTTTATATGTTTGGTTGTCTACTCATAATAACTATAACACAATATACATTGCAAGTTTTAAGAATGTCTTAATGAAACATATGAAGTATGTACACAGCATATTGCTCATATTTTAAAATATGTTGCTGCAGGTCTATTCATGTGAGACAAAAAAGCCAGGCCTTCTCATCCAACATCTGTGCCTGACTTCATATGTGCTCTTTTAACTAAATGAGCACAAATTCTGACAGACACACTCCAAAATTTTGTGAAAAGCCTCCCCAGAAAGGTGGAGGCCGTTTTAGCTACAAAGAGGCTCCATATTAATGTTCATGGTAAAAGTCATCCAAAAAGCTCATTATAGGTGTGATGTCCACATACATTTGGCCATATAGAGTACAGGCAAGTGCCTCTGACAGCAATGAGTACCGGCTAGCTGAATTCACTAATTAGAATGTCAGGATATTTTTAGACATATAATGTATATTTTATGGGAAAATACATGAGCATGTGCAATAGATTTATAAATACTAAATAAACTTATTATATGCTTTCTCAATAGGTGTGGTGTCAATCAAGTGCGCTCAGGCTTTTGACTGGAACAGTAAGGCCGCCTGCACTGTGGAGATCCATAGAGGCAGATGAACTGTAATATGTATATTAATTTGACAGCCTGATGCTAAGAGTGGCTTTTTGTTGTCTTTGTTATTGTGTCTATAGTGATCTACTAAACGCCACTCGTCATACTGTACTGATGCTGGCACAATTTTTTTTTCTTGTAATGCAATCAATCGGTCGTGTCCGATTTCATACCCTGCTGGTTTCACCCTGGTGTAATTAAGCTGCCTCTGCTAGTTCTAGCCATATTTTATTCCATTTACAAGAAATCAATGCTCAGGCCTGTTGCTCATACTGACTGCGGCTGGTTGTGCTGGCTGGCTCTTTGGGTTCATGTCAGGCAAACCATATTAAATACGTCGCTCTATTATGCAATCCAGTATTACTCAGTGGGTAATTGAAAGATCTAACACACTGTTGTCTAAATCACAGAATAAACAGTATATATATAGTTTTTCAATGTTTGCACTTTCTAACCATGCAGAAAGTATAGAACAGACCTAGTCATACATAATCTCAAGTTAATTACATGCTTACAACATCATGCTTGATAGAAAAAAAACCCTAAATCTGTGTTTAGCAGGCCTGTAATTTATTCATTTATTTGCATATTACACATTATTTAATACAAGACAAATAGAATTACTGTTTTTTTATCAGCATTGTACATACTGACCAACACATTACACTGCATGCTTAAAATGATAGTTTGGTCAAAAAACTAATTTATGCAATTTCCCCCTCTTACCTCAAATGTTTTTACGTTACCTAACTGGGGTAAAAATGGATCACAGTATAAATTATTCCATGCATCAACACCTATGCTTAAATAAAGCCTGAATTGATTTGTTTGGGCCAAAAACAACAGAACATCCCGCCTGGCTGACCCGCTGGTTACCATCAGGTCACAATCAATGAACTTTCTGTTGTTTTTTTATAACACTGCTGTCGGCTAATTAGAACTACGAAAGGGAACAACAGGACTGGAGCAGCGTCAGAGCAGGACACACTGATACGCAGACATGATAAACACCAATACATACTGATACACTGATAATAGCAGTGGGGGACCCTGAGGGCCTTGTAAGACCTTCATGATAGAAAGCTTAGTGATTTCTGTGAAATAAAAAATACATGTCTGTGATTTTTAGTTCATTTTTATTTTTATGTAATCATCATGCTTGTATTTAAACTCCACATGTATTATAGTAATACTTTCATTTTAGAGAAATTAAAGTTTGGGAAAAAATCCGAACGGAAAATTGTCCAGTATGTTTTTTTCTTTGTGGCACTGAGGCAGATATAGCCAAGCATGTTGTCCCGTGGTTTAGAACTTCCAGAGCTAAATAACTTAATTGTTGTAACTGCTCATTAAGGAACATTGTTAAGTTGTTGCATTATTACATGTTTTTGGCAAAGTGGCGAACATCGACCCATTCTAGGCCTGATCTTGGATAAGCTCAAATATTAATGATCTTGTCTTTGAACTGTTTTCATTTAAATATAAGTCAAAGTGGATTTACTAATAACTGCTTTGTTTTGTTTTCCCATAGTGTTCCAACTTTTTTGGAATTGAGGTTTGTGTGCTGCATAGCTAAAAACAGTGGCTGGTTTCTGTCATCATGTGACAGAGGTGTTGATATACATTCCTGAAGGGCCAGTGTCCAGCACATTTTCATGATTTCCCCCTGGACACAGCATAAAATTCATGGTATTAGTGCAGTTTCACACTCATACACACAGAAAGACTCTGCTGTTAACTCTCAAACATTCAGAACCTGCTGCTCCTTCAGCAACACCTCACATATGCTGAAAAAACTTCTTTGAATGTGTTCAATTAGTTGCACATTAATAAAATATTTTACTACACAGTTCTTGCCAAAAAGTACACAAAAAAACTTTTAAGTGGGGAATCACCAATGAAATTACACTTTTGTTTAAGACTAGGCTCACAGGACTGGTTCCCCAGTCTTGGACTAATTTGTGGTGCACAGGGATGGATTACTGACCAGGCCAGTAGATGCAACAATTAGATTAATGAATAACCTTTGAATATATAATGACTACACAAATGAAATGAAGGCCGGCAATACATTAGATGAAAGAACAGAATCAACATTCTTGAAAATGTCTTTTAATAAAAATACCAGTAGTAGAAATGGCTGACACATTTACAAGATAATAGAAAAGTGTTATTAAACTTTTCCACCAAAACTCCAACAACCCATCTTTAGATAACCATTTTATACAGTGATATAATGAGGGAAACAGTGTTGACACAGAATAATTGTAGAAGCACCTGTTCATCAATGATTTGACACAATTTCATATTAATCTCATATCAACTCTTTATGCAACAGCACAACCTGCTGACTACACAGCAAACACCTCAGACTGTATAAAACATGGAAAACATTTGCCTGTAAACCCAGCATAAATGCTGCCCTCTGCTGTTTGAAGCAACTAGCTGTTTTAAGGTAGTGTTCCTACATGGTGGGATGGTCCTGGAGTGCTACTAGTTCCCCAGGTTTTTGTGCCAAATCAACACACATACACCTCAAATAGCTCATTAACATACAGAAAAAAAAACATCAGAATATTAGATATTTAAGGGCCCATATTCCATATTTCTGACTGGTTATCCTCATTCAAAAAAGCTGTATGGAAATATATGGAAGAAATTGCCAAATTCAGATAGAAACAGTCAAGAGAATAAATTTCTGCCACTCTGTTCAGATGTACAGATCCTTGGATCTGTAATGACCCGCTTGCTTCCTGACAGCCAAGAACAGCACAATTGTTAATCGTTTTATGAACATGATCCACTCCAATAACTCTGATACAGACTGCCTGCAGAAACAACACTCCGCAACACTTCAACATGAATTGGTGAGCTAAATTAATGTAGGATGAATGTAAATATGTTAATGGCTGTGATATCACAACCATGCTGAATTCAAACTGTAACTGAACTGTAACTATAACTCAGCAACTTCAATAATGTTTACATAGTGTTCCAAGCGTGTTAATAAAGAATCTTTAAATCCTCAATGAAACCTGATTACATGTCACTTTGAGGGATCCCTGACTTAACCAACCAAAAACAAATGCTAAATAAAGGAGCAGATTACAAGAAATGAGGAAACAAAGAATATGAGAAAGTGCTATGAATTATTAGCAAGTAAAGCTCCTGTTCCCTGCCCCTCCACAGCACACCTGAGCCTTTGGCCACTGGAGAAGCTACACAGATTCAGTCTAATGGCCTCAACTAATAGCCTTAAGTTTGAGATACTTTACACAAACCCTTTCACCCTGTAGAGTCCACTTATAGGTTTAGTATGATGGTACAACATAAAAAACAAATAGCACCACAAATTAAAAATATATGTTAACAATTTTTCATGACCAGTATAAAATATCAAAATACCCGCTAGGCTACATGACATGTTTTGTAAATACCTGCAGTCTGTAGCTGCTTTTGTTGAGGTATGTTGGAGCTTCACTAAAAACAGCACTGAAAACAGAATTTTGAGTATTCTGGTGTACACTGTAGAAATAGCTTGTCAGATTAAAAAAATTACTTCATGTGGTAACAAGTAAATTGTAAAAGCAAATAAAGCAAAATTCAAGCTTCAAGATAGTTATTGTTTTTACCTTTATAACATACTTTGGCCTATTTCTATAGATAACAGTGTCATTCAGTGTTAGAAACCACATAAGAAAGTAACAGCATGAGCTGTTTGAATAAGGTTTGTTGAAAAATCAATGTCGCACAGTTTTCCAGATCAGCCAAGACATGTTTGGTGCCCAAACTTTACTTGTTTACATTAGCACTGAAGTTTTACTTTAGCACTAAGTTCTTCCAAACATGCCTTAGATGCTTGAATACATCTGAGGTTAGTGGAAAACTGTTTAAAATTAGATTTTTTCTGATCCACAAGATTTGGGGTAAGGGGAAAAACTATAGTTTAAAACTTAAACCTACCACTGTACATACATGCGCATGTACTGTGACCTTGAACATCTGTCTGGGATGTAAACACTTCCTTAGTAAGGAGCTGGAGAGAGGAAGATGTTGAAGAGAACAGCGAAAAGCAAGAATACGATGTAGCCCACTATGCAGAACCAGAAGCGAGGGTCCTTCAGAAGTTTCTGGTTGTAGTTACTGAAGAAAACATAGCCGATGGTCATGCCTGCTATTCCTCCACCAATGTGGGCCACAAAAGACACCTGCAGAAGGAAGAATAACACAATGCCTGTTAACAAACAGCCCTGCTGCACAGCAGTCATTCAGGAAAACAGGACAGTGAAGCACACTGAGGTTAGGGGTGGGCAATATGATGATATGTAATGGGTACAGCAGTACTTCTAGAACACTGAACAACTGCTTGTATCATAAAAAGACAAGTGCATAGTAACTGTATGAATGACATAGTAACACATGGTACTAAGCCTACCAAGATGGAGCATATGGGTGGAGCTAGAAATAGTGCAGAGCAGTTTTTGGACCTAGTGAACATCACAGATTCTGGCACTTGTCTGACTCGTGTGACAGATCGCCATCTGTCACACGAGTCAGACAAGTGCCAGAATCTGTGTAACACGAGTCAGATGACGACAGAATCTGTCTGTCACATGAGTCAGAAGACCACTAGAATCTCTGTCATAAGCCAGACAGCTGCCAGAATTGCAGTCCATCACACAAGTTAATCAAGCACCAGAATCTGTCCGTCACACGAGCCAGATGACTGCCAGAATCTATTTCCATCACGAGAGTAAGACAACCACCAGAATCTGTCTGTCACACGAGTTACATGACCACCATAATCGCTGTCCGTCACAAGTCACATGACCATCAGAATCTGACACACAAATCCGACAACCACCAGAATCTGTCTGTTACACGAGTGAAATGACTGCCAGAATCGCTGTCCAGTCAGACGATCGACCAAGTCAGACGACCACCAGAATCTGTCACAAGAGTCAGACAACCGCCACAATCAGTCTTTTACATGAGTCAGATGACCGCCAAAATCTCTGCCACACGAGTCAGACAACCATCAGAATCGGTCGCATGAGTCAGACGACCTGCAGAATCACATTAGTCAAAACTATATTGGAGCTTCAAGCTCCTCCATTGTTGGTACAGTTGTTTGTGTTCACTTTTAACACTAATGTTGCATGAGAAATCATGTGGCCACCACATCACTTCGCCCACTTTCACAGTTCTGCTGTGTGATAGGAAATGGACATGAGTAGTAGACCAAGTTATGGATAATTATGGGTTCAGATTAGTAATCCTACTATGGCATACAGCGCTTTCCATTAAAAAACACCTTAAATATTAACACAATGCTGAATGCATTCACAGATTTTTTGTTCATTTTTGTTTGCATTAAACTAATATATATTTTTAAAATAAATTACTGTCTAAATGCAGTTTGAAAAAAACAGAAATGGATCAGCCAAATAAGCTGATGTAAAAATGGTCACTTTTCTCTGAACTTTTGAAGAGAGGGCAGCAAATTTTACAGTTAATAAATGCTTCTTTTGTCTCTTGCTTGTCCCGTTTCCTAGCCCTTTAAACACAGACAGTCTCTAAACCTGTTGCACTAGTTCAAATGCATTTCTATCATTTCCAGTGTACAACCTGTCTCTGTAATACAATGCATATGAATGGAATTTAAAACCATAACATATGTAACCCTCATATGTCTGAAATGGTGACTTACAACTCCCTGCATGTACAGCTCCACTATGAATGGATTAAAAAAAGTGTAAGGCCAATCTCAGAACTAACAAAGACTTAGGCATCAGGCAGCTTTTTTGTAATGAGCTTGTGTAACAGCATTCTAAGAAGGAGCTTTTAGAGGCATTAAACACTTTAGATGCCTGATTCCTATCACCACCACTGTGAACAAATGTGACTCAGCAAGTTTCTCCAGAATGGAGCATTTTACATCAAACCACTCTGAATAACTTTGTGTACATCTTACCTATTTAATTATGCAGTTTTTTTAAATATCAGTGCAATTCCCCTTTAATATAGTTGTATTGAAATACTCAGTCAAAGGACTCATCTCACATTTATTTTGATGATGTCAGATTTATTTATTTGTTTATTTATTTATATAAAATATCAGTGTGTGTTAAAACAAAACTAATCTATATTAGGACTGGGACACACTTCAAATATACTTTACGCAAAAAGTGGACAATATGATGTCTGTAAAATCAGCCATTGAGGGACTTCACAGGGTTAACTGAGGCAATGATGCTGAAAAAGCACCGACTCACCTTCAATCCAGCCTCATCACTCAGAAATCTTCTGTACAGAGCGAAGCCCACATCTGTTCCCACTAAAAAAAAACAAAAAAAAACACCAGGGTCATAATGAACCTACATATATGTGGAAATACTCAGGTGTGTTTCAGGACAGATGTTTGAACGAACCGATAAGGACGATCACCAAGATGCGAAAAATTCCCAGCAGAGGAATCATCTCCCTGAAGTTCTTTTGGAGCACAGGAAAGAAAAAGAGTAATTCAATTAAATTAGCTTGTCAAATGATTAAAATAATAAATTTGCCTTATTTGTTTTAAATGGAAAAAGATTTTTTCCATTTAAAAAGCACTAAAAACAAAATACTTAGTTTTCACTGCTGCTTAAATGGGGAAAAAAAAAAATCTTTCTTTACTGACTGATGCTCATGTCACCTTGTTCTCACTGCCATTCATACAGCTTTTGGAGTCTTATTACAGTGGAGTTTCTTGGGGGGAACTGTAGCTTGAACATGATAGATTAAAACAAAAAATACAACACCTACTACTAAAGCATTCATGAGGTATCCACCAATGAGGGCGTAAACTCCTCCAGAGGCACCCACCAGAGCACTGTACGGGTCAAAAATGGAACTGGCCAGAGAACCTGGGACAGCACACACACACGCAAATAGTTCATTCACACACACCATCATATCAGCACTTTGCCTTCTTTTTAAATTTATATTTTCCACCATTTTTCACCATTACTTTTCAATTAAATAAGGAAAAAATCCTGCAGTTAGCATGGAACAGCCATACATAAATTTGACTGTCTATTATATGTAAGTATAAATTTGACTGTCTATTATATGTAAGTATAGTGATACATAGTACCACCATACGTCAAATCTGCACTGCCTCCAATTCAGGTCTGTCATGTAATGCTGCATGTAATGAAATATCATCTCTTTTTCTTCCTTTCTTTTCTAATGACACAGCAGCTTTACGAAACAGCACAATAGCAGATCTGTTCATCGTGCAGACGGTGCAGTCAGTGCAGTCAGTGCAGGAGCTGCTCTGCTACCACACCAGCATAATTATCACATTTAACTAAATTATTGTTTCAAATATAGTTTAGGACACTACAGAAAGTAGGAGTGAGTGATCATTGTATGTGTTAATTTAATTATATGTTATAATTAAAACTGCAGCACTTATGATTTGAAAAACTTGTTCAAATTGTGATTTCGATATTTATCAAATTTCCAAACTCTTCAAATGTAAGCTAGATGACATTCATACATCAGAGCAGTAATTTTAGTCAATATCACACACCAAAAAAAATCTACGAGGTTCAACAATCCAAATAAAGCTGAAGCAAAATGAACAGAAGGATTAGCAAACAGATATTTTATGCTAAGAGAATCTTCGCAGGATGTTTCTTATTTCATTGAAAAGTAAAAGGCAAAGTTCAACATAAATAGAGAAGAGGCTTTGAGACTTTAAATACAGGTTGGAAATATAAACGACAGTTGCATAATTGGCCTACGGCTGCCTCTAATTTGCAAACCTTTGATTAAAGTAAAGTACAGTCTACAGGGTGGTTTTCGCAAAACAAATGGGGCATCATCCCAGGTTGTATTGCTCTCTCTCTGCTTATTCTTAGTTGAAAACTCTCAGCTTAATCTATGTCTAAATTTATTCTTAATGGATTCATAATTGAAAATGTGAAGCTTAATCTAAGTTGTTCATACAAGTACAACATTTTTCAGTCTGTACATTATCAGACAGTGTGTTGTTTTGGTTCTATGAGCTGGATTAGTCTTCCCAAATGAGGTTTTGTAATGTAAAGTGATTGTAAATGTAAATGCACTTAAATGGAATGCATTTAAATATAAGTTTTGTAGTGTAAAGTGATTGTGTGATTATGTAATTTAATTGGTCAACTGATTCAGGATAAAGAATCTGAACAATGTCATAATTTCCACAGATAACCCTGATTAAAAAGTTACAGCCAGGATGTTCACATCAGCTTTACACCTCAGGTCACACTCAATAACAATAACAACACACTGCACAGCCATGACTATTAGCAGGTTTTGTTATTAGATTAGCATGTGCTGGATTAGAGCAGGACTACTATTACTGAGGGAGCTTCAGCTTCAGACAATTACAGAAGACTGTTCACTCCTTTATTACTCTTAAACTGTAAAAACTACACATGGTTCAAAACAGAACCAATGCAGCTAAAAGTAATCCACCTCCAACAGGACTTATTAGTCTAAAGTGTAGAATGTCGAGTGACCATACTGTGTGTGCAGAGTGAGATATTGTCCCTCACCTGCAAGAACGCCACCCAGGTAGACCATCCCCACCTCAAAGCCCTTGTGGACCAACTCCAGCGGTATACCCAGCAGCAGCTGCAGAACCAGATTCCCCACAATATGCTGGATCCTGGAGGAAAAGAGCACAAAACCCAGTTAATATCATTCACTGCTTTAAATGAACAACTGTTCTCGGTTATTGAGGACGTTGGATTTTGTGGCACATGCTGTTATTTTGTAAGTTTGTGTTGTCCATCATTTACAATGACTCCCTGAATGTACTCTGAGTTTAAGTAAAGGTTGACTGATTGATTGATTTTATAGTATTACAGTACAGCACAGTAACTTGGCACATATTAAAATAATTTTAGCAGATTTGTTTTAAGAGAACTGTTTTATTGTCAGCTTTGTTTCAATTTTCGGTTTACGTTTTTGGCCCAGTGAGTCCAGAATCTCAGTACATCCCTAATAATAACATTTCAAAATCAAAGCAGTTGAATCATCACCTGAATTTTTACACACCAGGTCTTTTTATTTCAGTCATTTGTCCCTTCATGGTTCCATTGTATGTATCTCAAGCTATCTATTTTACTATATTATATTATTATTATTAACTGAACACAGAAAAACTACATCCAAATATGTTAGCATTGCTAGTAAGCTAGAAGCTAGCTAACATTCAGTAACATTCTACTACAGTAAGTAATGCAGCTGACCTCCTTCAGCTTTCATTCTTTCTTTGCCAAATGGCTATTTTTGGCTGAGAAACAAATGGCATGTTGCAGCAAAACAAAATCCAGATAAGAGATGAAAAGGTCTCTTACCCAGCATGTACAAACATGTAGGATAAGAAGCGCCATGCCTCCTCCCTGTGGTCTGGTTTGTAGGTGAGGGGACTGTTCCAAATGCCTTGATCCAGCGTCACCCACTGCTTCTGAGGCTTCCACACCGCGTAGTAGATGAAAACTGCCAACTGTGGTGAGTGACAGCATGTTAGCATGAGAGACACTTCAGTTTGCTAACGCTAATAAACAATGTTAGCCTACGTCAAACTGTAAGGCTAAGCAGGGTAATGAAAGGCTGGCGACAGTGAAATGTCAGACTAATGACAGGGATAAGAAAGTTGATATTTTCAAGAAGGCTGTATGTCATTAAAATCATGTTATTAGCTTTATAACATTAGCCTTGGACAATATGTTACATAAAACTGAGTCTATAGTTATAGCTATACAAAATTAGCAAGCTCATAGCTCGGGTGCTATTCGGGTGACAAATGGTACCAACATCTTGTGAACTAAATTTATTTACAGTGTCAATAAAGCTTTTATAACTCCCCAGTAGTCTGTCTGGGTTCAATATATCTTAAAAAACGATTTTTACTGATCATAGAAGGCTTTCATAAGCATTTTGTCTGTTATGGTTTACCACAAGCAAAAAAGAAGAAATAATCATATAGAAATCTATTTTTTTTCCTAAGTACTTTTTTAGTATTTTGATTGCCATACAATAAAAAAGTGGCAAAAAAGTATGTGGACACCCCTCAGGTGTTTCAAGACCCCTATTGCTAACAGGTGCATACAGTCAAGCACACAGCTATCCAGTCTCCATAGACAAACAGTGACAAGTAGAATGGGCCATACCACAGAGCTCTGCTGATGCACGTACTAGGCAAATATCATGTATCTGTTGCATCATTCACTACAGAGAGCCTCTGGAAGCAACATCAGTACAAGAACTGTACATCAGGAGGCTTTTCATGGCTGAGCAACTGCACGCAAGCTTGAGATCAATATGCGCAAAGTCAGTCATCGGCTGGAGTGGTGTAAAGCACACCGCCACCGGGCTCTAGAGCAGTAGAAATGTGTTTTCTGGAGTCATGAATAAAGCTGCACTATCTGGCAGGTCGGATGAATAAACTGGGTTTGGCCAATGCCAGGAGAACTGTACCTACAAGAACATACAGTGCTAATAGCAAATTTGGGGGGAGGAGGGATAATCATCTGGGGCTGTTTTCCTGGGTTGGGTAGGTAGCAACTCCATATGCCCATGATTTTGGAACGGGATGTTCAACAACCTCATATGGATGTGACAGTCAGGCATCCACACACTTATACCGTATAGTGTATGCTGTATAATTTATGTATATTTTGGAATATATTGACAACATATAACAACATATTTCATTTTCATAGGGGCCAGTGTCCAGTGCAGCAAATTTTAGCTGTGGACTGGTAGTCAGACAGCTATTTTCAGTAAGTGTTGTGGGCTGTGGTTGGGTTTAGAGCAGTACTTCTGGAGACATGAATCTGGTCATTATACGGACTCCCCAGCAGCAGAAAAATAAACTTCTGCTAAAGCACAAGAACCTCTCAGTACCGTTCATAGGGAAACTTCCAAATCAAATACATTTGGTCACAAACCAAACAGTGCTACTAACACATTGAGACAGATCCACTGCAATGCAGCACCCTTAGAATGAAAGCTTCCCAAATGGTTCCTTTGGACGTCCAGTTCTTGGAAAACCTTAAATTGGTATAGAACCTTTACATTATAGGTTCTTTAAACATTAAAGTGGTTCTTTATACTGTCACTCTGTTTAAAAACCTGTGTGGGTTTAGATACAAAAAACAGTCATCATTAATTTTAACCTTATTATTTCCAACTTATCTTTATCTCATTTTATTTGACAGGCTGTTGTTGTTACTCTGCCTTTAAGACTGATATATGTAAATGTGTGTTTTTTTGATTGGATATCATGTATGATGCCTCATTCAAAAAGCAGTTCAGGCTGAAACGTGCCTTGTTACTTCAACGTGAATGGGCAGAGCTAAACTGCAGTAGGCCAAATAGGCAGATATATGCAAACACACTGCTTTTTGTAACATCACAAAACAATACATTAAAAAAAAAATGTGACATTTTTTGACAAAAAAACATTTTTACAGCTTACATCTTAATGAATGGGAGTGAACATTATGTTTTGCAACTTTATATATGGCATACTAAGGTTCACACACTATTTTTAAGAGTCTTTAACACTGACACATAAGTCTGTAATCTGAACTGTATTTAGTTGTAGTGGCTTCAAATGCATTCTATGAGGTGACCTCATTGGCTCACATTAGAGATAAACTGTCTTTATACAGTAAAATGAGTCACACCTCTCCTATGCTGATGAGGATGATGAAGATAGGCGGTGGCAGGCAGTTGGCGCGTTCCAAATATGTTTCTCTAAGATCTTCTGGCAGCATCCATCTGGAGACGTGGAAGTGAAACCTGTCGCAGCATCCTTTCTGCTCATCATCCTTCTGATCTTCCTCCTGCTGGTCTCTTTCCACAGGAAAGCCGGCCTCTTCATCCGCATCAATATCTCCCATTTCTCAGCTTTAATAAAGGGGAGACAGAATGTTAGGTAGGTTTAGTAACTTTCAATAGACTTCTACGATGCACAACCAATGTTGCAAAATGTTCTTTCGCACATAGCATGCAATTACACATTTCCACTAGAGAGGTCGCCAAATCCTCAAAACTTACATAGTGCAGCTTTAACACAATTACTGCCAAAGTAAGTTTAACCCATTTAATCAGACCAAAAACTTTTTGCATGAGTTTGTGAAGCACTAAAAGTGATGTTAATGTGTTTCTACTGAACCGCAAACTATAACGTTAATTATCGCCTTGATTTCACATGAAAATTTGTATGTGGGCGTAACTGGTCACATGACCCAGAGTCATCTACTAGACGCAGATGATGCCTGCATCAAAGCTCTACAAAAGGAAGTCAGCAAAACATGTTCTAATATAG